AGAGAGAGAGAGAGAGAGAGAGAGAGAGAGAGAGAGAGAGAGAGAGAGAGAGAGAGAGAGAGAGAGAGAAAGAAAGAAAGAAAGAAATTTGAAAAAGCTTATGCCAGGACAGCACTTGGGTTTGTTGAACATGGTCTACACAGGAATTCTGGGATTGCCTAGCCTTGTATGACAAATAAAGAAGCCTAAGAATAGGCTTATGGAGTAAGTAGAAGAAAATTTCATTGAAGTTAAATACGTAGAAAAGGATGTCAATTCAAGTTATATAAGAGAAAGGGGACATATATACCCACAGCAATATTAATCTCCATAGAAGGGAGAATTTAAGCATACATACAATAATAAATTTAGACCTTGACCTCACTATTAAAAATTAATCATGCAAGAACAAGACAGGGAATAGTTAAAGAGACACTGAGCATTGTCTCAATGGATAATAATATGTGTTTAGATTGCTTTAATTACTTTAAATTGTTTTAATTATCAAAATTCATGTGGTTACATTTTTTTTTTGGTGGTTATGATATTAAAACTCCTCTGGGACAGAAGTTAAAATAGAGCAGGCCTAAAAAAAGGAGGCTGCAAAATTGAATCCATCTAAACCTTTGAAGATTTGGGGTTACTGGACCAAAGACATGCTATTTGGGGAGAGAGGCTCTGTATTTGTGTTAATAGGAAAAAAACAAAAGGCTTTGGACCCCTTCCAGAGTGATATGGATCAGACATGAAGGGCAAGACGCTCTGAAGATCTTGGCTACAGAAAACAAATCTAAGAAGATCAAACATGACAGGTAACATGATATGCTGATGGAAACAGCCCTGTAACTGGCTTAGACATAAAAATGTCTCTAGCCAAAACTTCAGCTAAAATTAGACAACAAATCTTGTTGGTTATGAAATCCTTAAAATTCATCCTGTCGTTCTTCACATGGCATAAATAAAGATTTATTACAGTTGGTTATTGATCAGGTTAACTCATGAAAGAGTAGTTGTCTTTCATCTGCTCAAACAAGGAAGCAAATTTCATCCTTAACTGGTCTGTGCACCTTACACAATCCATACAAATATCTTAATGGTACTAAAATTTTGGTTGTAAGATTCATGTATTACAGAATGTACAGCCCTGACAAGATTCATCCAGGGGGATGCTAAAATGACCTGCTGTTCCAGCTCCCTGCCTCCTGACGCTGTTTCTAGAACAGCTTCAAGAATAACTCCTGATTCCCAATGGAGTCAGTTCATCCAGCTTTCAGACAGATCCAGTCAGAACTTCAGTCAATACAGAGACTGGATAACAGATGTTAAAGCTAGCTTTCTTAAGTCTAACCATTTTTCTTTTTAATTTTCCTACCCCTCTCCTATTCGACAGGAAGAAATTGTGAAGAGTCATCATCTGATCCCTTGAGTTTGGGTGTCTGGTTATGATTATTTTACAAATTATAGATAGGTTTTTGTTTTAAGGGATAATTTAGAAATGGTCATTTTGAACAGGGATTCCTCCTGTATATATGGGATGGATTACTAAATTTATTCTTAAACAAAACATTGTATTGCCATAATCTTACATTGGTAGAAATCTTTATACATGATACAAAATTGAAGTTATAATTTCTTACATTGGTACAGAATTTATATATTGATACAGATTTAAGGTTTTTATTGATATAAACCTTTATATATTGCTACAAATTTTGAAATTAATATTGGTACTCTAAGATAGGCATTGTGCCTATACAATTCAGTTAAGAATACAAGGCCTTGACTCAGTTCTTCTACAGCAGCTATTACAAACTGTTTAAGATGATTAAGTAACACAATATACGGGCCAGATAGCAAACCCATGGTTATATTAGATTCTGAAGTTTTTAAAAATATTACAAACTGTTTAAGATGATTAAGTAACACAATATACGGGCCAGATAGCAAACCCATGGTTATATTAGATTCTGAAGTTTTTAAAAATATTATTCAAATAGAAATAGCTAAGATAGCCGGGCGGTGGTGGCGCACGCCTTTAATCCCAGCACTTGGGAGGCAGAGGCAGGTGGATTTCTGAGTTCGAGGCCAGCCTGGTCTACAGAGTGAGTTCCAGGACAGCCAGGACTACACAGAGAAACCCTGTCTCAAAAAACAAAAACAAAAACAATAAAAACAAAAAAAAGAAATAGCTAAGAGTAGTCAAGGTTTAACAGTTCAGATATACTTTATATAGATAGATAGTCTTCAAAAACATCAGAAATCCACAGAGTATGACATTTATAATCATTTCATTATTATTAGATTTTTGACTAAGAGACATGTCTGTCCTGACAGTACCCCCTTCACAGTTCAAAGAAGATATTGTGCATCATAATTTCCATATAGAGTTGTTCCAGTTGTAGCAAGGTAGCCACTAGGCAAGAATTGCCCTAATTCATCTACAGACAAAAAATACTGTCCAGGAAAGGACACACAATGTAGGATAGTCAACAGCTTAGCTCTGACAGTAGAGGGTAAGCTAGTCCTTCATAGTTCCTGCTTCA